TTTTTGGTTTTTCTCCGGTACCAGGAACCGAACTCACGACCTTGTGCTTGCCAGGCAGGCGCTTTTGCCGCTGAGCTAAATCCCCAGCCCCAAGGAAGGGCATTTCTACCTAAAAATAATTGCAGAACCACAATTTAAATTTCTGAAAGGGTAGACAATAAAGAGGTTATGTACTTATGGATAGAAATGCTGAGATAAAATGGAAGTTCGCCAGTTGGTGTCTGTTGTTTCTAGCAGCTGCTCATCAGATAAAGCCATGTCTTTATCCCAAAGCTATTGAGGCAGAAGCCTAAGGTGCAACAATGGGAACTAAGAACATAGGCATAAGTTCATATTCCCTCTACCAAGAGATCTACCCACCAGTCTTCCACTCATAAAGAGCATGCTCAAGAGTGTTGTTAGTACATATGCAGATTTGGTGGTACCTTGATGTATAAACTTCGTTTTATGATTTTGGGAAAGATGGCTGCATTTGATTTGTTTCTGTGGGGAAGATCATGTGGTTGTCGCTAAATGCAGTTTGCAAGTGGAAGCAAATTTTGGCTGAATGCTTTTGTGAACAGATTTGTTTGCAAAGTGTTTGTGAACTGAGGTATTACTGTATTGGTCAACAAGCACCAATAGGTTGGTGGCTGTATTTGGGAGTAATGAAGCTGGAAACTAAGGCCTAATAGAAACCAAAAGAAAGTTCTTAAAAGAGCTTTTCTTGGAAAGTTGGTTTTCCCAGTGAACATTAAGACTTTGAACTGCCCTCATCTTTGACTTTCTTACAATTAGGTGAGTGAATTTGTGCCTGCTGTGTCAGAAACAGAAACCTCAGTTTATCCATTTGTATCAGAGCTTTCTATGGAGAAATCAACATTATCTACAGGTATGCCCTACATATATGGTTATCAGCCTCCACATCTCTAAGAGGCTGAATTATTGTAAAAAAAAAAAAAAACTGCATATGCCTATAGTTGGCGTTAAGATCAAATGTGAAGATATATTTAACAGAATTAATTCCCTCAAATTTACAGCTGTACCAGAGAGCTTACAAGAAGCATTTGCTAAGAGAAAAAAATCATTTATGGAGAGATCCTACCAAAGGCAGAAAGAAGTATGGAGTAAAACTCGAGTTTCTGAACGTTCCCAATTCAAAACAGTTAAGGAAAAGTCATCCATAGGTATATTCTAAGAATCTATCTTGAGTTTCTGGAATGTTTTAAGGCTGTGACTTGTTTGGTGGTAAACAATCAAACCCAGCACCTATGCATGCTTCTCTGAGTTATATACTCTCAGCCCTTTTCCTTTAGGAAGAAACCACTGTGTAGCTGAATAGTATTTGATTTGATTATAGACATCCCATGCATGTTTTTTATATAGTCATCTGTTGAAGGGTATACAGGCTGATTTCTCTCATGGTTGTACTATGGTTGTGTACTAATTTAATTCCCCCCAACAATGCATGTTTTCTCAATGACTGCTTTTCTTTCCAAAACTGGCTCTTTAGCTGACAAAATGAAAAACCTGAGATTTTGTAGGAATGGAGAATGCTGAAATATACCTGGGCAACACAAAGTACAAAGAGTGATGAAGGATGGATAGAAGGGGACCATGGGATCTAGAGTGAGGGGTGAGAGGAAGGGGAAGTAAGAAATGTCAACAAGGATGATGATTGGAATGGGAGATTCAGAGAAGGGAATTATAGGAGCAAACTATACTGTACATATAACTTCATAAGTATAAAAATAAAATAGCAAAACAGAAATCACTTTCTTCTCAGGTTCTTCTCTGAGTAGCCTCAAGGGTACGAGTAAAGTTAGAGTGTGTCTTCCTGAAGAAAGAAGGATGGAACAGGCACTCATACATAAAAGGTCTACAAGGTACCTGTTTGCTATATTCTGCTAGCTTTTCTGCAAACTTTATTCCTAATTCCATGAACATTTTACAGGTTATATAATCAGTTATCTGAAATAAAACAACAAAAGGAAGAGAAAGCAAAACAAGAAGCTTATGTTTTGAGACCAAAACAGAGCAAGAGCCAAAGAATTTCATAAGGTGAGGCCTCCTAGCCCAACCCCTCAGTGTGATTTTTAATGTATACCATAATTCAACCTGATTATGTAACTTTTATTCCCTTCCCAGAAAACACTAGAGAAACTTCGAGCCAAAAGTATGTGCTGACTTTCTTCAACATGTCTAAAGCTTTTAAATAAAGGACATAAAGCAAAAATTAAATGCATTTTTATTTAAGTAATTTCACATGTGATTTAATACTCATTAAGGTCACTTTAATGAGGTTCTTTGTCCCCAAGATAGCCCTGAAAAGAGAAAAGATGATGGTTACAACTTTGAAGCATATCTGTTTCCCATCATGGATCACAGCTTGCTCAATATTGTGTCTCCTCAGAAAAACATAGCACTACTGAGTGACTATGACATACTGTAGAGAACTTCATTCTGTGGTCACTGCGTTAAGAGCTCTTGGTTTCATATTCCCACAAGCCCTCTTTGAAATGACCTGTGCAGAACCTTTGCTCATCTGTACATACCTTTTGAAAAAAACTGATTCTTAATCCAGTCATTCTCATCTGCTCTACATAAGAAAACAAATTATATAGTCATGACTGAGTTCAGGAGGCAGCTTAGGTTCTCTGCTTCTAATCTTAAGGTTAACACTGTAGATTAACTAGGGAAAGCAAGCATCCAGAGATCTAAGCATGCCTTGTACGGTGTTCTCCTACTCAGTGTAATGTTCCCAACAGGTTGATTGCTAACAAAATAGCAGGCAGAAAAACCTAGTGGGAAAATTTTTTATGGTCATGTCCACAGCAAATGAGAAACTTCATTCTAAAAGCCTTGGTAATGACCATTATAACATTCCAGTGATTTATGGGTAAGATAAAAATAGAAATTACTTGTCACACTTCTTCTGTCTTGAATATGGACCATGATAATTTCAAAACTCCTGTGTAAAGAAGCAATTCATATTTACTATATGATAATTTTATTCAAAATGTTTCCTATATTTCAACAGTACTTACAATCCCATATCCAAACCTTGAAATTCCAACCTTAGAAAATTTCTCACTAGCTATGTTATTCTTCAATCCAGTTATTTTCAAGTAATACACAATTTATAAGAGACTGAAATGAACCTCAAGAAACTTAACATTCTAAAACTGTACTCATTGTGAATGTTCAGAGAGGCTATTTTCATTCAGCCCATTCAGAGCAGTTGAACATTTTGCCCATCATCATAACATCATACACCCATGACAGGAAAATCTTAAGTAGCTTTTTTGCCTTTGAAGAAAAAATTTAAAATCTTACTTACCTGTGGTCTTATATCCAGTTTCTTCCAGAAATTTACATTTTGGGAGCCTAGAATTCAAATTGTATGTAGTATTGGCATTTTGGCACATAATCTAGACTCTATTAGTATTTCATAACCATTCACTTCTAATATTGAAAACCACCGTTTTCCAGTATTAAGCAAAATGTTACAGGTCTCATTGTCACCACTGTAAACATTTACTGTGATGGAAGCATGACCTGTGTCTCAATTTTAGCCACACTGACCAATTTTGGACACCAATCAACAGTGCCCATTCAAATCTAGAATGAGGCTTTGTGAAAGCTCCTCCAGAGCATATTCATATGTAAGGCTTCTACATCTGTATGCAATTTGTTGTTACGCTACCAACTGGGGGAAACAAAGAACAGAAAACACCTTACATTTATGGTACATGGATCTGCCTTGCTCTGACACCCTATATTAAAAAAAAGTATTATTACATAGAAGAGTGTAGTAAAATGAATAAATAAGAAACCATAAAATAATGTATCAATAGAAATACCAGGTTTAACATGCACGAAGCCAAGAAAACCAACGATGCCAGATACTGAATTTCTATAGCACTGTCTTTTGAACACACCAGCAGGAATCAACTGTTGAGTGCAGATACCACAGTGCAGTCATTACTGTAGTATGAAGACCCTCTATTATACTTCCAGTTAACATTTATTACCAATTATTATAATGAGGTCACTACATAAAAGAGCTGTAATCCATATCTGCTCAATTTACACATGAAATTAAGTCAGATCAGAAAGGATTAACTCACTGGTAAAATGCTTTTTGCCTAAGCATGCACAAGGCCATAGGTGCAATACCCCATAATGCAAGTTAGGGTCAGTGCTGCTCAGCCAACTAGTCCCAGGGATGTATGCTACATATGTACATAAACCATGTACAACTTCCAGTTGTATAAATGGCTGTGCAAAATAGTCTCCCATTTTTCATTTTATAAATACATGGATCAGGCGTTGTTTTTTTTTTGCCAAGATCTTAACTGTTTTATACCTAAAATGCAAATTTAAAGAAATTGGAATTACAGTTAATTTTTTATAATTCACTTACTTCTCTAAACACGCATGAATTCACTCATTTCCTACAGAGAAATTACAAAATAGAACATTTAGAATGACAACAAGTAGTTCCAGTAAATCTAAGTTAACTGTGCAGACTTCATAGCTATCTCCAGCTGTCAGAATTAAGTTTAGTTCATGTTTATATCACCCAGCAGTTGAACAGTTAAATTCATCATCTGTACTGGAACTATGCTCCCAGAATACAGTATTATGCTGTCAACAATTAAAGCTTACCTAAGCTATTCATAGTAGTACAGGCCTCTAGGATGTGCAAATAAATATCTAAAGTTAAAATAAAGATTATTAGGTCTTTCATATATTTTGCTGTCTTGTAGTGCCTTATCAACAGGCCTAAGAAATAGACCTGTGAGCAAAGCAAAACCAGTGTTACTCTATGAGGCGTTTCCAACGATGTGCAGCCACAGGATAAGCCCCATCGGGATAGACCTCACGACACCCTAGAATACCAATGACAAGCAGGAACTGTGATGTGCTTCAGCAAAATAATGCAGAATTAGCAATGGACATGAAAACTACTTAATTGCCCAAAAAAGGCCACTTCATAATGATTTTTAAAGAGTTTGTTTACTGGCCAGAGTACTCAATAGCCAGAACAAAGACTGAAAAATATGCAAGTATCATCAAGTAGCTTTGTTATTTATATTTTTGAGATTGTTTCACTAAGGTAGGGCAGGCTGAGCTTCAATTGGTAATCCTGCCTCAGCCTGCTGAGTACAGGGACTATGAGCCTATGCCACCAGCTAAATACTTCAATTGAACTAAGGAGAAAAAATTCAAGTATGAATTAGTCTGAACCATATGACCTTCAATACTGCCTGCTGACATTTTGTCTATTCACAGCTTATTCTGAGTCAATTATGTTTGAAGAACAGTATAACTGGCACCATCCCAAAATGTAACATACTTGAAATATAAGGTTGGTTTTTGGCAATCAGTGTCCAAACTGGAATTAAAGAAAGCTAACAATCTTTTATTAAAATCTATGAAATTTTTAATCTGATATTACTTACTGTGTTAGTAAGACATATCTTCAACTCCAACCCCATGGTCAAACAGAAGCCTTTAAGAAAAGAAAAAAGGTATCTTCGTGTGCCACGATGTAAAAATTGGAATACCAAATCTATACAGTTTGCTCATATCCTGCGCTTTGTATTAACTTCATGCTCAGAATAAAATTTATACTAACATCATCACTTTAATTTGTATTAGCTTGCTACATGTGAAGAAAAAATTTTGTCTTAGCCTTGCAAAACTAACTCCTCCTTAGGTTATCTTCATTTTTTGTTTTCTGAGTTAGTCTCACTATACAGTTTGTAACTTAGGAATTCCTCTTGCCTCAGCTTTCGAGTCCCAGGATCTCAGATAGTCTTGTACCACTGCACCTAGCGATAATATTCCTTCTTATATGTATCAAAACTCATACCAAACAATGAGTTCTGGGTTGCAAAAGAGGATTTATTTTTTGCACCTGTTCATTAAGTTTTAGTCCACAAGTTAAGACAAAAACACACACAAGTGCCATTGTACAATGCAACACATGCTTAACAACAGTAAGCTATACAATGGTGATCGTAAGGAAAATAGCAACTGAAATAGTACAACTCTTTTCCAGGTATACTAGGAAGTTATTTTTGAGCTGCTGGGAATCAAACCAAAGACCTCATGTTGGGGTTAAAAAGTGTGTTCCAAAGAATCTAATGAAGCTGGTTGGATGCCAGTGACTTTAACATCTTCTTTCAGTAGTCCATTATACCTGTAAGCTCTTACTGAAAGTAACAAGCACTGATAATGAATAGCAAGACTTATGTATACAGGACACGGTATCCCAGCTTTTTCCCAGTGAGAAAATATGAAATGTTTTTGTATTTTTTAGTTTCTTCTACAAACTTGTTCAGTTTTTTTTCCCTTAGTTCTTGGTTTTAAGACCTTCATCAACAGGTTATCTCCACATTAATCATCTTTAGTCCTTTTTTCCTATCAAAACAAAAAAAATCACTTCCTGTATCGTTTACCTTCTTTGACATTCACAAGTTTGTCTCCTTTTCAAATCTTTCTGCCCTCTGTCCAGTATTTCTGGCCTTAGAAACCTTCTGTATAGTCAGAGCAGCTTCTTTGTTATTCTCTCGTAAATACACATTCATCTTGTTCGGAAATTCAGAACATTTTATGAAACAACTCTCCTCCTGCATAAAAAAAAAATGCATTAAGAAATAATTACATACAGGCAAGTGCTAGGTTACTTGAAACTAAAAACCCGAACTAACATTTGTGTATTTTCTTAGAGCCTAAGTAGCAAGACCTATAATATGCTTTCCCTTAAGGGCTACAGAACTTCCTAGTCTGTGTTAAGAACCTGTGTTGGATACCCAGCACAGGAGGAAAAAAAAAAAAAACTCATTTTCTCATTATTGTGTATCTAAAAGTTACCATTTCTAGTCTTTCATCTCTCTTAAAAGTTATTAAGTCTTTTTCAAAATTTAAATGGAAAGCTGAGTATGGTGGTATTCACTGAGGCAGGAGGATAGAGATCTAGGCCAGCCTGGGCTACATGGAACATCAGACAAAAAAAAGAAAAATCCCCCCTAAAATTCCTCTACCAATGCCTGCCTTGTTCAAATGTTAAAATTAAGTCACTTACTACCAGTTTGATATCACATTCATCATGTTCAAGATGTGTTGTCCTTTCTTCTGCTCTGTAACATTAAAACGTATCATAAATCATACACAGTTTTCTGACAAGACTGTACTACCTGCCTGAAAGAGCACTATTAGTGAAGGTACAAACACTGTATCCTATTTAACATTGAAAGAGGATGGCTTGTTTGACCAATCTGCTCAAATGCAGTAATTCTAACTTGTCCATTTATTTTATGTGAATTGTGTATTAAAAAGAACAAAAACAAAAAACCTGGAGTCAGGCATGGTGGCACACACCTGTTATCCCACCAGCACCTGTGAGGCTAAAGGAGGCTAAATGAGGACTGCATGAGACCAGGGTGATTACATAGCAAAACTCAAAAAAACCAAAAAGAAAAAATAATGACAAAATAATTTTAAAAATGAGCAAAGACATTTTAAGATGCAACTTACTCTGACTCTTCAATAGGTGAAATGGAGCCATCATCATCCATGTATTTGTATCTACGACTATCAAAATCTTCTTTTTCTAAATCTTCACTAACATTCATTTGTTTCAGTGACTCCTTAAGGTGGTGTTCATACTTCAGTTTTTCAATGTAGTTAAAAAATCCTCTTGCCACAGCTTGCTACATGTGAAGAAAAAATTTTGTCTTAGCCTTGCAAAACTAACTCCTCAGCATTTCCGGACCAAACACACCATTGATTATCACTTTACTCTTTAACAAGTATTCTCAAAATTACAGGTCTGACAAGGGATGTATTAACTATACATTCAACATACAATTCTTAAATATTCCAAGAATCTACTCTTAGGATTAAGTATCAGAAAATAACAGCTAGCTCGGCAGGGTGACAAATGCCTGTAATCCCAGCACTGGGGGTTGAGACAGAGGACTGCCTTTAGAGGCCTTCTGCTTGAGGCCAGCCTGGGCTACATGGCAAGACCGTATCTCAACAACAAAAAAAGAAATTCAAAGAAGTGACAGGTAGGCTTAAGAAAATATTTATTGAAGAGCAAAGACATGGGTTTAACATGGCTTACAGAAAAGTGGATGTCATGTTTTAGGATTGATGAGCTCAAGGCAATACATACAGGGAGACCTGAACACTGACCCTTCATATTCACCTAAGGAATATGCCAGGGAAGATTTCACCCAGAAGCCTAAGTTGAAAATAAAGTATGAAATCCACTTTTAAGTACAGAATATCAAAATTGCAGACTGTTCCTTTTATCTTAGGCAATTCAAAAGGTACCAAAACATTTCAGATATTTTAGCTATCTGTATTCATATATATAAACTGACCCACCTCAAAACTTAAAATTTTCCTCCAAGGTAATGGTTTCCTTCCATCTTCAGATTGTAAAATTGGGAACTTTGGTCCTTTGTCTTTGATTTGTTTTTTATCTATTTGTGATCTTCTAGTGTTTCTCCTTCCTTTTGGTCTTCCTCTTGGTGTTAATTTTGGCTTGTATTTTCTCTTTTTACGTTTCTTCTTTTTCTTAAATCTTTCAAAAATAGCTTTCAAAGTCAATGGTCTTGGTTCTATAGATGAGTCACTTGATGAATCTGTTTGAACACTTTCAGGTTTATGTACGTTATGTACGAATTTCTTCACAGGGTTTCTTTGAGTCCGTTTAGGTAAAGGTACACATTGTGTTTTAAATAAGCTGCTACCAGACGAAGAGCTATCACTAGAAAATAAATTTTCTCGTATTACTAAATGCTTGTTATTAGACCAACTTAGGGGAACATGCTCAGAATAAAAAACTGTTAAAGGGTAATGGCTCAGTACCAGATAGCTATTAAATCCTGACCGCCAAATGGTCACATTTGCTAAAAAAAAAAAAAAAAAAAAAAATTTGATTTTGCAAGAGAAAGATGTAAACTTCCCAGAAGTTGTCTGGACATTACAACTTTCTCTTAACAGCCTACTACAAAAATTAAAATAAACTAGCCTGTTAGCCCTCCACCAAAGGAAATTCAGCCAGAAGTCAAGATACTAGGAAAATTTATTTCCCTGAATTAAAAATGTATTTCAGTAAGGTGTTAGCCAATTTCTTTACCAAATTTAGATAATTATCTTTATTAACATCAATTATGATTTATAATTTCCAACTCTAATGCAACATTTTTACCAAATCCAGTCTCCCTGTAAATCCATTTACCTTTGATTTTCAATTTCCACAGCTGTATCAGATGTCATACAGGTAACAGGGTCCATTACTGATTTATCCATCACTTTTTAAGTTTCTGAAATCACAAAATTTCAGTAAATGTGGTGTAGCCTTTCTAAACAAATGCTGACATACATATACAGCCAGTATCTACTAAAAAGTTCTTAGGCCATGCCTAAGAGAATTTAGGCTTTTAAGATCTAGGGAGAGGACCTGGGGATACAGCTCAGCGGCACAGCACCTGCATGGCAAGTGCAAGGTCATGAGTTCGCTTACTGGTACCAGAAGAAAAAAAACAAAAAACCCCCAAGATCTAGGGAGAGTCCATCTCAGAATTGCTTTAAAACTAGAATTTTCACTGGTAAGTTTTATTTCAGCTTTTGCTTTCTAAACCTACGCAATGTAGGAAAATCTCTGAAAGTACTTAATTCCAATAAGCTTCTGAGTACAAGAGCTTATTAACCACAAATACTAGCCAAACAGGCATTTCCCAAAATCAAAGGTGGACTCCTAGGGAAAACTTTTATGCCAAGAAAGCCAGAAGGCAAAAAGTGTGCCTGTCTACATAACAGGAAATAATAATCCTTTAGACTGCATCTCCGTCCAATTCTTGGTCTAGAACTTTACTTACTGCCTCTTTCAGTGTTCCTTCCTGGTCTCATCTATGAACCACCTTGTCACATTACCTCTCATTTCATTATTGGTGGAAACACGAGTTCAAGTTTTTGCCAAGCATTAATATCCTAACACTACTTGTGTCGCCATCTTCTTGGTAGAGTACATAACAGATGAAGATAAAAAAAAAAGTTAAAGCCCATCCTGATTGAACTAGTGATTTAGCCAGTTTGTCTCAAAAATTTTAAAAAGGGATGTAAATACACCTCAGTGTAGAAGCCCTTGGTTCAATCCCAAATACTGAAAAATTTAAGAAAATAAACAACAAACAAAAAAAGGGAAAAAGCCGGGCGTGGTGGCACACGCCTGTAATCCCAGCACTTGGGAAGCTGAGGCAGGAGGATAGTGGCAAGTTTGAGACCTGTCTGGGATACAAAGTGAGCTCAAGGCCAGCCTGAACTGCAGTGAGACCCTGTCTCAAAACGACAAAAAAAAGATTATTTTCATTAATTACTTAATCTCCCATGATTTTTTTATTCCTTAGTATACTTGAAAACAGGTAAGTCATTACAAACCCTAACATGATCAACTTGCAAAATATTTCAAATACAGGAATACGAAAATCACTAACACCTCAATTTGTTATGCCTAACAGACCCATTAAGTGTTTTGTTAATTTCAGGAGTAAATAAGTCATTAAATAAAAGCTGCTCTAAAATGATATCCACACCTTGTGCAAGTCAGCTAGATGATCTCTCAAAACAAGGTAGGACATTATGATGCAGGCCTGTAATCCCAGCACCCTTCGAGGCTGAAGCAGGAGGATTGAGCGCTATTGACTTACCAAACTGTTTCAAAATAAAAAATTAAAAATGGAGATGCAGCTCAGTGGTAAGGCCCTGGATTTCATACCCAATACCACCAAAAAA